CTCTCTCTCTCTCTCTCTCTCTCACACACACATTTAAATCTTAATGTTTTGATTTATTTTCAATATAAACTATTCAACTATTTTTGTTCAGTAATACTAATGGAAAAAAAGTATTTAAGCTATTAAACTTAATATAAATATACATAAAATATTATATTTTATAGTTTAATGAATAAAATATATATTTTTTTATCAATTATACTTAACGAAAATAAATAAGAATTTTAAGATTTAAATTGATAAAATTAAAAAATTAACAATTTTTTTCTAAAAATTAAGAGGCTCAACAGTAAGGAATTTTTATTTATTTTTATTTTTTTCGGGGAAAAAAATTCTGTATTTGAAGAACGAAAAGAGAAATTAGGGTGTCAGATTTTTTATTTTTGGTTACAAAAAAAAATCCTCCTACTCTCCTGCAGTTTCAAAATAACCCTCTCCACTGTCCTCTCCGAGCGCGTATAACCTGGAACTTTTGAAATAGAATGTTGAAGTTGAAGCATACGGCCGAAACTATTTGAAGAATTGAGCTGTCAAAACAGGGGCTTGTATGTATATATGGATCATCACAAGTGTAACTTCACAATCTAACTTTGCTCTTTTTTCTCAAATTCTAGCTCTCTTTTTTATAGAATCTCTGTATTTTATACCCCAATTCCTATAAAATCAGTATTCTCTTCTAATTAGATCAATGTCAGACTACATACCCAATGAACTCATAATTGAAATTCTTGTAAGACTCCCCGTACAATCTCTACTTCGATTCACATCTGTCTGCAAATCATGGCACTCTCTCATCACAAACCCTGGTTTCATCACCAAACACCTCAATCAAACCATTACGGACAGAAAAAGAAACAGTGACAAGCTTCTCCTTAGGCTTTACACTGATAATGATGAGAAAGAACACTATCTCTTGTGCTCCGACGACGAAAAATTCGGTGACGATTATTCGGAATTCGAGTTCCCATTCAAAAGCCTAATTGGGTATTTCAGAATTGTTGGTAGCTGCAATGGTTTGCTATGTCTTTGCGACGATTATTTCGGTGATACCCATCATATTGTTTTATGGAACCCATCAATTAGGAAATCAGTGACTCTCCCTATGCCTTGTAAGCCACAAGGCCCCTATATGTTTGTTCTTGGATTTGGGGCTCACCCCATGACTCATGAGTACAAGGTGGTGAGGATTGTGTATGAGGAGCATATAAATCGGTTCAAAGTTCCTCCGAAGGTTGAGCTTTACACACAAGGGATAGGGTCGTGGAGAGAGATTGATTCTGCTTCTGCTCCTCCATATTGCATGGTTGAATTTATGTGGTCACAAGCTTTTGTGAATGGAGCTGTACATTGGGTTGCATATGATCCAAGTGCGGTGGGTGGTTTTTGCAATTTGATAGTGTCGTTTGATATGGTTTCTGAAGCATTCTCTGAGATGATGCTACCTCCTGCTTTAGCTGGTCGGTGTCCAATGCGTCTGTCCATTAAATTATTTGGAGAGTCATTGGCTGTGTTTTGTGCTGCAGAAACAGGCAGATCTTCTTGCTGCATATGGGTGATGAAAGAATATGGAGTTGCAGAATCTTGGACTAAACTATTCAGTATTAATCTACCAGGCGTGTTGAATAAGACATTGGGATTTAGGCAGAATGGTGAGGTTCTGCTATCAACAACTAACAACTGGCTAAGTGCTTATGACCCTGGAACCAAAACAATTTCGAATACTGGAATAAAGGGGAGTTCACACTCATTTAATGTTGATACTTTCCTGGAAACCCTAATTTTAGTGAAAGAACATACTAATGTCTTAGAGGCGCAGTTGAACCATTTGTAATGCTCTGCTTCCAATTTCCTAGAGAGCAAGACATACAGTTGAAAGAGAAACAGTTATGAAGAAGCAAGTGAAAGCAAAAAAGGATGTGAGAAGCAAAAATGAGATATCTTTAGTTACTTTAAGCACTATTTTAGATGTCTGAGGGTAAATCACAACTATTTATGTTCTTTATACCTCAACATTGTGTCAATGCACACACAAACTCAAACACACTCTCCTTTTAATGCTTTGACATATTCATATTGCTATGTGCCGAGTTGCTATATGATTATATTAATTTGGTCATTTGTAATCCAATTTTTAGAAAGAGATGTTTGTTCCTTGTTCTTCGTCAGGTTTGGGTAGCTAAACTAAATTTTGTTTGATCTCTCTCTCTCTCTCTCACACACACACACACACGCACACATATTGATAAGTTGATTTTTCACACTAATGAAGAAATTGTGGTTGATATTGTTGTACTTGTCCTGGGCTATTCAGAAACAAGTCGTTCTGTATGTCAAATGCCTTATGCATGTAATCTGGTGAGTCTGGACATATCGGTCTGTTATTGTATTGTGTATGCTGTTGCACATTGTTTTGTGGCATATGAATGATAATTAAGCTTTTCAAGCCACAAAGATCTGTCATGGGTTTTCATTACTCAAAGCAACTGTGCACCAAGTATGGGGATTTATAATGAAATGTATTAGAATGCTCTAGGTTAGCTAGGAGAAAACATCAAGAAAATGCTTCCAGCTATTATTTTAAGTTGAATATCTCCTATGTTACATGGACTCGGGTATGGGTATCGGGTGTAAGTGTGTATCCAAGAGTCAGACTTACATAAAATTTAAATTTTAAGATCTTAGGATACATATCCAAAATTGGATATGGGTACGGGGACATGTCATGCACACATAAATTGCATATTGTAAATCATGTAGAAATATACTAGAAATTAAATAGGATTCAGGAAAAATATGAAATTTCTATATCTAATTCATGTGAGATGCTAAAAATATTGTTTTACTAGCAAAATGTGAATTTCTTCTTCTTCATATCTTGTAACAAATTAAAAGATCCGAGTGTCTAAATTGAGTACTAGTATCGGACACATATCCTACACCCTTACCCATGTCATTATCTGGTGGACACGGGTACTTTGGGGAAAATAGAAGAATCCAAGTAACACAGAATATCTCTATTTGCTTCTAAAAGACTTCAACTTAGTAGTTTGAGTAGTTTTCTCATTGGATTCGTTCTACAACAAAAGATGGTGTTGGATATTAGAGATGCAAGAACTCTACATTGTAGGGTCCAATTCTCAACCAGGAATCTTGGACTTCAAATCTAAACCTCTCTTTGGAAGTCGGAAGAGTTGAAACGTAATAACTTTTGAATTCATTATTTATGCTGTTAACTCTTAGTTTGTTTAGGTTGAGATAACAGTGGAAGGGGAAAAAAAGGCTTATAGGTTTTTTTGGCTTATACTTCTTAAGGAAAGAAAAGATATTTATGTGATAACATTGTCTCTATTACAAGGTGGAAAGAGGGGAGCTTTACATTCTACTAGCGCCTGTTTTTATCTCACCGATCCTTTTTTCAACAAATATACCTTTTCCTCAGTTTCCTATGACGCTTTATATCGGGGGTTGTCCGTAATAGAGAATGAACTTGAAGTTGTGAATCCATTTTAGTTTCTCTGGCAGTGGACAAATGTGGATCTTGATGTATAGAATATAAGTCTATCTTTATATCTTATTTGCATTGATTGTTCAGTGTATAGCTGGAGTTGGGGATGATCAGCTATGAGCAATCAGAAGAAGGTTTGGAAAAGGACTAAATGGATACAAATGTCTATGATTTGTGTTTCCATATGTTCCATATTGTAGATGGAGATGTTGCCTTGTTTTAGGTTTGTGTCTTCGATTGTGTCTAGCTTCATGAAACATTATTATTACTCCGATGAAGCAATTTTGGCTAATGTTTTCTTTCTTAAAAGTTCATACCCTGGAAGTACTTCAATTGGTATAAGATATTATGCTAAAACAAGTGGTTGCATATATGTGTGTATATATATCATTTTCTACTCTTGTTAGCCCAAAAAGAAAAAAAATGTAAGAAAGGGCAAACTGATACACGGAGTAACTGTTAATTGCTCATTAAGTTATTAAAGTGGGTTAATCATTTTTCAGGAAAGCATATTTGCTGGTTACATGTAGTTATGTATGGCCAAAATAAGTATCAGGTGAACTAGAAGAATAGACAGTACTGAAAATAGATTGTAGGTTGAGTTTCAGAAAATATTATTGTGGTTAGCTAGTTTTTGTTTGCTTGTGTGGTCTGGGGTTTGTTATTGGAATTGAGGGATCGGGTCATCTGTAATCCATTTGGTAGCTTAGCCAAATTTTGTTTGGTTTCTCAAAATTTTATTTATTTTTATTTTTTTTGATAAGTTGATTTCTCACACTATTGAAGAAATTGTGGTTAATTTTTATTTTATTTTTTTCGGTGGACTGGGTCATTCAGAAGCAAGTTGATCTATATGTCAAATGCCTAATGTATGTCATCTGGAGATGCTGCTTATTCATTGTCTCTTATATTGTGCATCCTGTTGCACTTTGTTTTGTGGTGTGTGAATGTTTCTATCTGCTTCTGAAAATGCTTCAACTAGTAGTCTGAGCAGTCTTCTCACTGAATTTATCCTACAAAAAGAAGATGGTGTGGGATTTTATAGATGCAAGATCTCTAGTTTGTTGGGTCCAATTCTCAAGTAGGACTTCAAATATAGATCCCTCTCTTTGGAAGTGGCAGGAGTTGAAATGTAATAACTTTAGAATCCAGTATTTGTGCTGTATACTCTTTAGTTTATTTGGATTGAGGTAAGATTGGAGGGGGAAGAAGAGTTTTATGGTTTTAAATGGGAAAGTATAAGGGGCCACTTTGGAAGTGGCAGGAGTTGAAATGTAATAACTTTAGAATCCAGTATTTGTGCTGTATACTCTTTAGTTTATTTGGATTGAGGTAAGATTGGAGGGGGAAGAAGAGTTTTATGGTTTTAAAGGGAAGAAAGGGTATTTGTATAGGTAATATTGATCCTATCAGAAGGTGGAAGGAGGTAAACCTGGCAGTCCACTAGTTGCCTGTTTGTATCTCATCACCGATCCTTTTCTTAACAGATGTGACTTTGCCTCAATTTCCTATGACGCTTTATTTTTAGATTCTGTTAAAAGAGGGTGAAGTAGAAAATCATTTTTCTCTGGCAGTGGACAAATCTGGATCTTGATATTATAGAATATATGTTTATAGCTGGAGTGGCGGATCATCTATGAGCGACCGTAAGATGGTTTGGAAAATGAATAAATGGATACAAATGTTAATTTTTGTAGTTGATTTGTGTTTCCATATAGTCCATATTCTAGATTGAGATGTTACCTCATTTTAGTTTCATATGTTCGATTCTGATGAAGCATTTCACTCTTATGAAGCAATTGTGGCTGCTATTTTCTTTCCTAAAGTATAGGATATTTTGCTAAAACAAGTGGTTCCTAAAGTACATCATATTCTACTCTTGTTAGCCAAAAAAAGAAAAGGTAAATGGGAAAGTATAAGGGGCCACTGATACACTGATACATATTCTCTATGATATGTATGAGAAGGATGATGTATTAAAATGGCTTTATCATTTTTCAGGAAAGCATATTTTCTGGTTACATAATTATGGTTACATGTAGCATATTTTTCAGTGTAATTTACCCTATAAAATTTTACCCAAACTTAAATTTGTTTAATAAATATGTCATGGAAAACAAATTACTAAAGATGTATGTTTACCAGTCTTAAAAATATTACTTAAATAAATTAGTCAAGTAACTCTTCAATTTGAATTAATTGGTGAAACCGATGAAACATGGCTTAGGCAACTAGATTATTTCATAAAATTTTAGAAATTTTAAAAATACTCTTAATCTTTAAGGTTAACTTAAATTTACTTTACTCTATCAATTGACAAACGAAAATTTTCTAATATGAGTAACATTCTTTTAATATACTTATTGAAATAAATATAAAAAATTAAATCTTTCATTTTCATTTTTTTTTTCTTGCCACATCACTTTAAGATGTAAAACTTGAATTTATCATCCACCATCAAAACTCAAATACTAACATCGCGACATGTTTTTTCTACAATTAAAATCTATCACAACAATTAAAAATAGAGATAGAATAGGAGAAGAAGGGAGATCAAAAATAAAATAAATAAGATTGTTATGTCATCAGACAAACTCTGGTAAAATGAATTATAATTATGAATTTCGTAAATGAAATGTAATTATATTTGATCGAAAGTATAATTTTTGTAATTTTAGCAAATTTAGTTGTATTAATTTTACAAATGTAATTATAATATATGTATTTGTTATATAATATTTTGGACAAAATATTAATAGACAAAAAAAATTTAAAAATACACATGTAGCTTAACATATATATGTAGCTTAAGTCGTGTTTGGGATGTTATGTTTTTAACTCCAAAAAAGTTGAGTCTAAAAGTTAGAATGCATATCCCATGTACAAAAAAAAATTTCAAATTTTGAACCAACTTGAAAAGACCAACAATCCTGGTGAGTATGGATATTAATTTACACGTTTGAAAGGATAAAATGAGAAATTTAAACAACAAACAAAAGTATGATAGAGTCAGTCAAGTTTCCCGTAAAATTAATAAACTCATTCATAAACACATGAATTGTTTTTATCTCCTAAAAAATCCTAGAAGTCATTTAAAAACTAATATCAAAAAACCATTTAGTTAAAAATAATTAATAAGGACTTAATCTTATTTATTTTTTATTCTTTTTAAAATTATTTTTAATTAATTAAAAAATAAATTTATTAATCATTATTTAATTTTGTACCAACCGTGCTGGAACCCCCAATGGGGGTGACCCTTAGCACCCCCAGCTCCACATGGGGGGCTGTGCTCTCAAGACTAAAAAAAAAAAATTTCAACCAATCAAAAAACAGTGGGGGTGGTGGGGGTCACCCCCATTGGGGGTCCAAGGCATTTCTCATTTTGTACATAACAAGGGTTATAAGCTAATATATTATTATGTGAAGCACTTTTCTCTGATTCTGTTTCCTCTTAATTTTGGAAGGAAAGTGAAGTGCTTAAAATACTTATACTCTCCTGTCATAATTAAATCCAAACACACGATTTTAACAAATTTTATCTATTCAAATCCTTTCATTTCTCTCCTAAACTATCAATTCAAAGGAAGTGTTAGGGTTGATCCTCGCTTCCTTTTATAGTTTTTCCTTTTGCGGATCTGCATGGCCCAAGTTAATG